ACAAAGGTACTCAAATTATCCAACCAGGAGCGAACTCGTAACAATGGTTTTAAATTAGACAAATTTAGATTTAGGCGTGAAATAGGTAAACACTGGTTTGGAAACAGAGTAGTGGATGAATGGAACAAGTTACCAAATATCATCATTAACTCGAATACGCTGAATTGCTTCAAACATAGGTTGGATGCTCATATGAGCAATAGGGGTTGGGTGTAAACGGGACTGCCCAGTATGGGCCAATAGGCCCGCTGCAGTTTCCTCCATTCTTATGTTCTTATGTTCTTATTTGTAACATTTTGTTGGTCTTCTTTCATACGGTCTAACTGGAATGTTCTCCCATCCCAGCAAAACTGTGCTAGGTAGCTTCGTAGGGTAGCTAACCAGTGCTACTCCACTGGTCAGCTTCCGTACTATTGTGAGCTGGTCTCCAATCAGCTCAGTCAGTTCTTCTTCTTCAAGGTGTTCTATCTCGGTGTGGGAGATGACTCCCAACACCAAGTTGTCCTCTGGGTGAGCTCGCACATTTATCTGAATCCCGTTCATTTCTGTTTTGTTGGCTAATTGCTGGGCCTGTCCCCATTCCGCGAAGGTGACCATAAGGCTACCATTCACTGGTCTGCGGACGACCCTTGTCACTCCCCCCCCCCCCTGATTTCTAAGACGTAAAAAAACTTCCTCAGGACAAGGAGGTTTAGTTGCTTGCGCGAAGGGTTTACTTGATTGAGCGAAGGGCCTGTGACTGGGTACAGTCTTGCGACCTTTGCCTGGTCACAGGTCAACATCGTCAAGTTCACGCAGTACCTTGGGAGCAGAAAAGATCTTGCCTCGCCGAGGTGCAGTTCTCGATGAGATCTCTTACCATATCCACGGACGAGAACAAAGTGTGGTTTCCACATCAATCGAGGGTCCCATGTTGATTTTTCACGTCATGATTACCCACAATCCATTTATACTATACATTATCTGTTGATATATACTAAAGGAGTTGATAAAAAAGTCATATATATTACTAAGAAAAAATTATGAAGTCCTTTACATTTTATATGCATTTCTTGAACAATGAGGAATATATTCCTCATGGTGTCTCTGTGACGTAGAATGTGGACGGCCTCTCCTCATGACGTCACCAACTGTCATATGTTTTCCTAGTTAGCAGACGATATTCCTCAAAACGGCATCACCGGTGGCGAAGAGGATAAAAGTAAGCAAATTATAAACATACTCATGGCAGCCAGAAGCAGCAACAATTACATAGGAACATAAGAGCATAAGAATGGAGGAAACTGCACCGAGCCTATTGGCCCATACTGGGCAGTCCTGCTTACACCCAACCCTTATTGCTCATATATCCATCCAACCTACAGTATGTTTGAAGCTATCCAGAGTATTCGAGTTAATGATGATGTTTGGTAACTTGTTCCACTCATCCACTACTCTATTTCTAAACCAATGTTTACTTATTTCGCTCCTAAATCTAAATTTGTCTAATTTAAAACCATTGTTACGAGTTCGCTCCTGGTTGGGTAGTTTGAATACCATTGTAATGTCCCCTTTGTTTATCCCTGACTTCCATTTATATATCTCGATTATATCTCCCCTCACTCTGCTTCTCTGGAGGTAGTGCAAATTAATTTGCTTTAACTGTCTCTGTACTCAATGTTAACGCTCATAGGAGCGTTATTGACTTGTATTGGAGAATGAGACCCACAACGATGAGGCTTACCATATAATTCGGTCAAAACCTGTTAAAGAACAATTCACATATTATAAATGCTGTTGTATCAGGACACATAATATGAACAATACAGTCAATATACAGTACATAGCCTATTAACATCTTAAATATTACTTACATGTTACAACTGTTCATACATCAGGAGACAATTCGTATAATATGATGAAATACAGTGCATAAATATACTTATTAAAGTTTTTAGAGGATTTAATAGTTCACAATCACACTCACGTTTTAGGGTCTAGGGTTTGACCAACGAGAACTGGTGTAATATCCTCTTGGTATATGTTAGTCGAACGGAGAGAGCGATAGACTGCCCTTTGAGCATTTACAGCTGCCTGGGCCGTCGCCTATTTAAACACCTCAGCAAGATTCGTTGTCAACACTATGTCTCTCCTCTCACCCCCCCTCTCTCTCTCTTTCTCTCTCTCTCTCTCTCTCTCTCTCTCTCTCTCTCTCTCTCTCTCTCTCGTCTAGTTTATCTTATTGTGGCGGTAACACTCACCCTAACAACGTATCTTACTGTGGCGGTAACACTCCTCCTGTCGGGCTTCGCACGAAATCACGGCATATTGTTAGATTCACTCTCAGACCCTTTCCAACAGGCAGAGTTTCGTCACTGGGCGTATTAACACTGAGTCCTTTGTCTTCACTTTAACGCTTCACACCAGGCCATCTTTGCTCGGTAGTGTCTCCAGTACTCTCCCTAGCATCCACTGACCCCTGGGGAGGGGTTATCCAGAGATGATCACGATATCCCCAGCGTGGAGATTACGGCGAGTTTTGAAGAACCTTTGTGGCTGACGTAATGTTGGGAGATATCCTTTTACCCACCTTTTCCAAAATTGGTCCGCAATGAATTGGGCATGCTTCCATCTTCGTCGGTACCCTTCTGTCCGTAGTATGTGAAACGGCGTTAGTGCTTCTAGCTCCTTTGGGTCGTCAGATACTGGGGTGATGGGCCTTCCATTGATGATCTCTTCTACGGCGCAGAACACAGTGCTGAGGCGCTCATCGTCTAGTGTCTGGGTATCCACCACTCCCTGGAGGACCTTCCTTACAGTGCGGATTTGTCACTCCCACACTCCTTCCATGTGAGAGGCTGTCGGAGAATTGAACTGCCATTCTATCTGTTTCTGTAGAAGGGCATTCCCGACCTTGTCACTGTTGTTCCAGCCGTTCACCGCCTCTCGTAACTCTCGGCTATCTCCAATCATGTTGGCTCCCCTGTCAGACCGAACACACTTGGGAGGTCCCCTATAGCACATGAATCTTGTCAGGGCATTGAGAAACGAGTCGGTGTCTAGTGAGGTGAGGACTTCTAGGTGCATGGCTTTGGTGGTCAGGCAGGTGAATAAGCATCCCCATCTCTTCGCCCGGGCTCGTCCTTGTTTAACCAAAAAAGGGCCGAAGCAATCAGTTCCAGTGTAGGTGAACGGCTGGCCTCCTGGACGCACTCGATCTTCTGGCAGGTAGGCTAGGCGTTGATGGGTGGGCCTCCAGTTGCTTCTTCGGCAAGTCACACACGTCCATATTGTGCGGTCGAGTAATTTGCGGCACTTAGGTATCCAGTACGTCTCACGTATTATGGCAAGTGTGTGTTCTCGTCCTGAGTGTCCAGCTCTAGTTGAGTGTACCTCTCTCACGATGAACCCCGTGATCCTGTTGTCCCTTAACAATAGTATGGGATTCTCCTGGTCTGGGTGGAGAGCGGCGTGTTTCAGTCGGCCACCTACTCTGATCAGACCGTCCGTGTCTGGATGAAGTTCCAGCCGCCTTATGTCGCTATCTCTCATGGGTTGTCTATGTTGTAACATTCCTAGTTCTCGAGGGAATCCTTTCCTTTGCATCAATCTTAAGACGGCTAATTTCGCCTCTTCCAATTCGCTGACCTGGAGGCGATTTTCTCGGTGATGTTTGTTCTTTCGCTTTCCAAGCCGCCATTCTATAAACCTTCTAATCCACGCTACGCTCTTGAGAAGTCGATGCCACGATGAGTACCTGGCCCATAGCTTATCGACGGTACCCTCCCCCTGGTCAACGTTCGTCGTCAGCACCGTGGTTTCCTTCTTCACCTCTCGGTCTCCGTCTGTGAGGTCTGGAATCCTCAATGGACTCTTTGGCCAACTGTCTTCTTCCAACAAGAGGAAAGCAGGTCCCCGAATCCACCTGCCCTCCTCGTTGAGCTCTGCTCCATGTAATCCACGACTAGCGTCGTCGGCCGGGTTCAGTACTGACATCACATGGCGCCATTGTCTTACCTTTGAGTCCTCGTGTATCGTTGCCACTCGATTGGTCACGAAGGAATGGAAGCGTCTTTCGGTGTTTCGTATGTACTGAAGGACTGCTGTACTGTCTGTCCGGAACAATGATCTGTCTATTTGTCATCACTACATATAACACCATCCATCATTACTACATATAACACCATCCATCATTACTACATATAACACCATCCATCATCACTACATATAACACCATCCATCATCACTACATATAACACCATCCATCATCACTACATATAACACCATCCATCATCACTACATATAACACCATCCATCATCACTACATATAACACCATCCATCATCACTACATATAACACCATCCATCATCACTACAGATCAGTAAAGTAGGTTCCGAGATTCTCGTGCACACACACAAACAAATATACAAACAAACAGACAGACTTCTTTGTTATATATATATATATATATATATATATATATATATATATATATATATATATATATATATATATATATATATATATATATATATATATATATATATATATAGATATCAACTCACAGGTGACTTGTCTAAATGGTATCAGTGAAGGTAATACTTGCCATGTGAAGTCATAACATCTGTCACTTCACCTCATACCTACAGGGGGAGGCGGCACCTGTGATCACCTACCCTAACTACTCTCTCCCCTTTAATCTGGCGTCAGTGGCGGGAACATTGTCATGTGAGGTCATGACTCCTATCATCCCATGTCTACATTATTAACATTATGAGCACAAAAGGGAGTAAAGGAGCTCCTTTAGTTAACTACACATATAGTTATAATTAACTTATCTTAAGTTGCACTTATTTAAATACATACCTGTAACTAAAACTGAAACGCATTGTTTTTCTTTAGATCATGCTCTTGTATGGACCTTGGTATGAGCCACCGACTGACCAGCATCAGTGAACCAGTACGAGTTAAATTTTGTACAACAGATAACAACAGGTATACCCTCTATCTCCTCCCCACAGGTCTCGATGCTTAGTTCCATGCAGAAACCCCTGGAGCATCTCTTCATTAAGCTGGATCTGCCGGGTGAAAATCCCAAGTGTTTCCCAAGATACACAAAACAGTTAAACTTCAGTGTCCTCTACCGAAAGCTTGTTGCCGAGAGCCATGAATTAGTGCTGCCTGATGCACAACCAACTCACTACCCCCTCAACGAATCTGTTTATGTGTCTGATTACCCCTGTCCACCCGACATCCTGTTCCCATTAAGAGATCAATTTCGTCAAGAGTTGGTCTTCAAGAAGGAGTTAACTGACAAGGCCAGACAAAAGATTGCTGAGGGAATTAAAGCGCTTGGTATTTATACCAACAAAAACATCACCAAAGTCACCGTTCACGTCCGTAGAACAGATTACATTGAACATATAAAATCGAGGTACCAGCTCACTCCACTGGACAAACTCTATTTTCAACGAGCGTTTGATTTCTTCAGGAAAAAGTAAGTGAAATTATTTAATTCTAGTTTAAATAACAATATGTGTGTAAACCTTTGCGTGACATAATTAATCTCACAAACAACAAAACACAAACAAAATACAAAAGATATTTACCTTAGGCTTCACCTCCTAAGTTCTCACTTGTATATGAACAACACCTCATCACGTTAGCCATCTGTATTATCTATCTGTCTACTTACTCACTTTCTAACACAATAAGGAGGAAGACAAGGACAAAAACACGTTACTGTCTCTAAAACAAGTAAAATAGTCAAAGATAAACATAAGACACGTAGTGTATAAGAGACGTAAACCATCAGTAATTTTATAGTGTGTATAAAATCTTCCTGGTGAGGCCAGACAGGCTATGTACAGTAAACACCGTTATCTTACGTTGTCCCACAGAGTGCCTTACCCAGTCTTCCTGGTGACCAGTGACGACCCCAAGTGGTGTAAGGAAAACCTTATAGACAAAGATGTTGCTTTTGTTGGTGAGTAATAGAGAGGTAGTGTAGTGGTGGTGGTGGTGGTGGTGGTGGAACGACAATGACAAGAACAGGCAGATTCACAACCTCTGGCTGGATGGGACCACGTGCAAGATGCTTCAACGAAAGACTGACCGAGGTGTTATCTGAACAGAAACAGCAGCCTAGAAGCTACGATGCACCTTGGTTGAAATGTTGAATGTCCTTCTCTCTGCTTAGGTCTGCATTACTTTGCCTCAGGGAAACGAGATCTTCGGCGCCAAAGCCACCAACAGTCGCACATATTGACTATGAGGCAATAGTCACCGAATCCAGCATAGATTTTTGGCCTAACTAACGCAGCTAGGGTAGATACTTTTGTATTTAATATAAAGGTAATAAAATGGTGACGAAAGTGTGGCTATAAGGGGAGATTGAGGGCCATGTTTAAAAAAAAAAGAGTAGAAATGGTGGTATTAGGAGTAACAAGTTAGGCGACACTGCAAGTGATCTCTGGCCCTTAAGGGTGGAGGAAGTCTTGAGGCGAATCATTGGAAAATGTATAATGGAGATGGTTACTGATGATGTTAGGGCAGTTGCAGGGAACCTGCAAGTATATGCTGGCCACCAGACTGGGGGTGAAGCTGCTATTCACGCCGTGAGAAAGATATTTGAACAGCGTAATTGTGAGGCAGTACTCCTGTGTGACGCTCCAATGCATTTAACATAATCAACCGCAAGGCTACATTGCACAACATCAAGATCAAGTGAGCTTTGCAATATATGTTAAAACACCTACAGGAACCTGACAGAACATAAAAACATAAGAATGGAGGAAACTGCAGCGGGCCTATTGGTCCACACTGGGCAGTCCCGTTTACACCCAACCCCTATCGCGCATACATCCATCCAACCTTTGTTTAAAGATATCCAGCGTATTTGAGTTAAGGATGATGTTTGGTAGCTTGTTCCATTCATCCACTACTCTATTTCCAAACCAATGTTCACCTATCTCACGCCTAAATCTAAACTTGTCTAACTTAAGGCCATTGTTACGATTCGCTCCTGGTTGGATAGTTTGAGTACCTTTGATATGTCCCCTTTGTTTAGCCCTGACTTCAATTTATTCACCTCTATCGTATCGCCCCTCACTCTACGTCTCAAGAGGGAGTGCAAATTAAGATGCTTTAATCTGTCTCTGTACTCAAGGTTCCTAATGCCCGGGATTAGTCTTGTCATTCTCCTCTGAATTATTTCTAAGGATTCTATATCCATTCTGTAATACGATGACCAAAACTGAACTGCATAATCCAAGTGAGGTCTCACAAGCGCAAGATATAGTTGTAGGATGACCTCGCTAGTCTTGTAACTAACACTCCTTTGTATGAACCCAAGTACTTTATTAGCCTTGTTTCGAGCAAATACGCATTGTTTACTTGCCTTAAGATTCCAACTTATCATTACTCCTAAATCTTTCTCGCAGTTGGATTTCTTTATATCATCGTTGTTCACCTGATACCTGGTTTCTCTGTTTCATCTCTTAGACTAAGTTCTTTACCTTTGTCCACATTGAATTTCATCTGCCATTTTTCAGACCATTCGAAATTTGTTTTTAGATCTTCCTGTAGTTTTGCGGAGTCCTCGTCAGATCTAATTACACGCCCTATTTTAGTGTCATCAGCAAATTTACTTATGTTGCTGTCTACGCCGATATCTATGTCGTTTATGTATATAATAAATAATAATGGTCCAAGTACTGAGCCTTGGGGTCTCCACTATTAACGTTACTCAAATCTGATTTAGTGCCGTTAATGCTCACTTGCTGTTTCCTGTCCTGTAACCACGCCCTAATCCATTTTAGAATACCTCCTCCAATGCCATAAGCCTCCACTTTTCTTATTAGTCTTTCGTGTGGTACTCTGTCGAAGGCTTTACTAAAGTTAAGATATACCACATCATAGTCGTGCCCCTCGTCCACTGATTCGAAAACAGCGGAAAAGACATGAACGCCCGCTTGTTAAGCCATGTTGGGAATCATTGATCAACTTGTGCTTCTCCAGGTGATTTCGAATAGAGTTTGAAATTATTGCTTCCAAAAATTTGCTTGCAATTGATGTCAAGCTGATTGGACGGTAGATAGAGGATAGTGTTCTATCTCCCTTCTTGAAAATCGGTATTACATTCGCTATCCTCCAGGATTCTGGTACTGCACATTTTCTTAAGGACAGGTTAAACAAATTGCTTAGGGCATAATAAGCTCTTCCTTACATTCATTTAATATGCTGGCAAATATCTCATCGGGGCCTGGCGACTTATTAGGCTTAAGCTTGTCTACTTGCTTACTAACGTCGTTGCTAGTCACTAGCTTACTAACGTCGTTACTGGACAGACCTCTATATTACAAGCTTTAAGGACCAAGGAGGAGATACCACCATACAGTCAACTGAGGCAATTACGCAATAGATTTATCCGTGCTTCAACACACAGTAAACTATGAAACAACTAAGGTCAAGCAAATGGCATATGCTAATGACCTTACAGGAGCAAGAAAAGTGGAAGACATCAAAAAGTGGTGGGACCAGGTAGCATCACGTGGTCCACAAATAGGGTACCACCCAAATGCCAGAAAGTCCTTCCTCATTGCTAAGCCAGAATACCATGACAGGGCTGTAGAGGTGTTCGGTGGAAGTGAGGTCAGAATAACAAAGGACGGCCAAAGACATCTAGGTGCGTTAATCGTCACAAACGATTTCAAGACCGAGTACGTAACTGGAAATGTAAATAAGTGGGTGAAAGAAATCCAAGCTCTTTCGAGATTGCTAAAAATGAGCCACATGCAGCGTTTGTGACATTCACCCATGGAGTCAAGCATCGCCGGAATTACCTGATGCACACTATCCCCGATATCGGACCCCTCCTCTACCCTCTGGAAGAAGCCACCAAGGTCGCTTTTATCCCGACACCAGTGAAAAGCCTTATTTAACCACAACAGAAAGGTCACTCCTTGGGCTACCACTGAGACTAGGAGGAATGGGATTGACTAATCCAGCAGAGCTTACGGCCACCGAACATCAAAACTCTGTCAAACTCACGGCAGCCCTCACTGAGGACATAATAGCTCAGAATACAGCAATTCAGGTGGATATCAACGAATTAAACAATATTTGATGGTCCATTACGACAGAACGGTACCACACCCAAAGTGATAAATTTCAACAACTGATACTGCGATTGTCAGAGAACTTGAAAAAAGTAGCTATAGCACAGGAAGTGGGTGCTCAAACTGGCTTCAGTCTTAATAAACAAGAATTTACAGATGCAATTGCTTTAAGCCTAAGGTATGGTTGGCCAGTAGAAGGTTTGTCCTCCCAATGCGTGTGTTGCTCATCCCATGATATCAACCACGCCATGGTGTGCAAGAAAGGGGGCTTCCTATGCATGAGGTATGACGAAGTAAGGGATCTCACAGCAAATATGCTGAAGGAAATCTGCCATGATGTCACGGTGGAACCGCCCTTCTTTCCATTAGACAGTGAGAATCTCCATCCAACGAACCACGTGTGGACATCAGTGCTCGAAGATTCTTTGACGCAGGGACAGCGAGCCTTCTTTGACATCAGGAATATCGACCCAAAGGCTGCAAGTCACCATAACCTAGGTCTCGATGCTGCACACAGAGGAACAAGAATGACAAGAACATGGCGTAGGGGAGAGAATTCAGAATGTTGATCAAGGCAGCTTCACTCCTATGGTGTTCACAACCTCGGATGAGATGGAACCAAGTGCAAGATGATCTTTGCAAGACTGGCCGGGGTGTTATCCGAATAGAAGCAGCAGCCTAGAAGTTACGTTGCAGCTGGGTTGAGATGTCGACTGTCCTTCTCTCTACCTAAGTCTGCATTGCTTTACCTCAGGGGAACAAGATCTTTGGCCCCAAAGCCGACAACGGTCACAGATATTGACTATGAGGTAACAGTCACCGAATGCCGCATAGATCTGCGGCTTAACTAATTCAACACAGCTAAGGTAGCTACTCTTGTATTAAGATATTTAATTTTAAGGTAATAAAATGGCGGCAAAGGTGTGGCTATTGGAGGAGGCTGGAGGCCACGTAAAAATGTCTTGGTGGTGGTAGTGGTGGTGGTGGTTGCATCTAATTGATTGAAGCTTCAACACTTGCTTTTGGACTGGTAGTATCCAGACGACTAGCTAAACAGTACCTTCTTCGTCTCCTTTGCTGACCATTGGGAGGCCATGGGCTTGAATGCTTCCTGATTGTACCCGTAAGTCATGTGACCTTCTTACCCTAAGACCTTCTATTAGACTGACACTTGCTACCCGGAGACCTCCTGGAGAGAAGAATAATTTCATCTCATAGGTTGTCATGTCATTAGCGTGTCTACTTGAGGGTTCATCTTCATATTTTCAACTTCCAGGTTCCTCCATGGAGGTGGACTTGACACTGTTGTCCCTCGGTGACCACCACATCATAACCTATGGCACCTTTAGCTTCGTCAGCTCCTTTCTCGGGCGTGGCATCATCGTCTACCCATATAATGAGAACAAGTGGCCTTTCTTCAGCTGCACGGATTCTAAGATCTTCCAGCTCCAACCGATTCCCAGAGATTAGCGTCCATGTTCTGGCAGCTATGGTCTGATTCGAGGAAATTGATTGATTAGTTCTTCTTTGTTGGTTCTTGTGATATCATTGACTGTACCTTTTGCTAATATATCTCATAAATCGTTACATATGGCTATGTATTGACATACTGTTAATATACTAAGATGTGTACCGGATGTTCTTTTTTATCAGTCACCATTGTTAGAGCGGTTCGGTTTTCTATGGCAGATGTAAAAAGATGTATTTCCTTTTAAATTAGTTTATTTTGTGTATTTAATGTGAATTATATTGGTTCAATGTAATATTTAATATTTTGTAATCAAATAATATCGTAAGCTTATACAATACTTATATAAAGAAGTTTGGAGTAAATATTCTGATTGTAAATGATGTAGTGATTGTTTACAATGAGACGCTCTCTCCTCCACAGGTGAATACATGGTGTAGATGTTAGATCAGGGAAGTGATTGTAATCTTATTTCATCCATTGTATATCCTGCATTTTACTATTAATTTACTCACCAGCATTTAGGGTGAATACTAAGTGATACTTCTGTGAATGGAGGAAGAGCCTTATTGTGAGATTAAGATTGATAAGTTACTAAATCAGTTGAGCCATAAGGCCATGCCGTGTCAATGTCTGTACGCTTTGCTTTATTGTGAGTATAATAGTTGTTAATTGTTATAAATTTTTATTTATCATTCCTAACCCAATTTTCACAGTATAAAGAATAGTTTTCCTTGGATGTTTTCTCACAGTGTGTTTGTATTAAATGTCACCTTCAACTATCAGCCAGAGGTAACAAAGGGTATCTACATATCCTGGTATGTTAACTACCGTCGTTATTTCAGAACGTGAGTTTGATTAATGGGCCTAGGAGATGAGCAATGGTGAAAGAGGAAGGTTATTCAGTGGTGGCCGTGACATATGGGAACCTGTGTCCGGGAGTTGTTGAAATTGTGACACATCCAAGAGTGAGTTTTTACCATTGTAATCTCCAGTAAGGTATACTGTACTGTACTGCGGACTAAAAGTAACACTGCAAGTAAGTGAAGGGTGACAGTTTTTTATGTACAGAGTATTAAAAGGTTTGTTAACCAGTAATATTGTGTGATAAGGTTATTTTTGTACTAAACAGCAAAATGGCAGAAAGTGTAAATGTAAAGAATTTCTCTGAAACCCAGGTTGTACACCATCTCTAGCAATGTACTAAGAAGGAATTATATGAATTAGCATCTTCATATTAGGTTTCTTTAAGGTCAAGTAATAAGTGTGACATGCAGATAGTGTTAGTGGGAGAATTAGTCTCTTTGGGAGTGTTAAAAGAGATTGAGGAAGAAACTGAGGGCTTGGCTAACCATGATGGTAGGATGCAAATGAGTGAAACGTTGGCATTGGAAAGGTTAAGGTTAGAATTTGAGTAAAAGAGAATCCAAGCAGTGGCAGAGAGGGAGAGAATCAAAGCAGAAAAAAGAGATAAGATTAAAAGAATTAGAAGTAGAGGCAAAGATGGGTGTAAGACTTGTCAACAGAAAAAAGATCATAGAGTTAGCCAGTTACCAGAGTTTGTTGAAGGGGAAGCAGAAGATTTCTTTATTCAATTTGAGAAAATAACAAAATTAAAGAATTGGAATGAAAATGATTGGGCTCTTCTGGTTCAGACGCGGTTCATAGGAAAAGCAAGGGAGCCTTATGCGTGTTTAGATATGACAGAGTCTGTTGATTATGAGGCTGTGAAAGAGGCTGTGTTAAACACAGTTCAGATGGTTCCAGAAGTGTATAGGACAAGGTTCAGGGATGTCAAGAAATTGCAAAATCAGACTTACTTGGAGTAATGTAGGGAATATAGAATGAAATTTGATAGGTGGTGCAAAACAGAGGGGGTGAAAACTTTGAAGGATTTGAGACATCTGATTATGTTACAGCAGTTTAAAAATTTGATACACCCTGATGTGAAATATGAAATAAATAAGGGACAGATTAAGGACTTGATGGGGGTGTCATAGTTAGCGGAGCAGCTAGTAGTGGCGTATAAAATGTACAGAGAGGATATCTCGCACAAACAAGATGGAGATAGACAGTTTAGGACCCGGTATCATAGGAAGGGTAAACAGAACCCTATGTCGCCATGTTCTAAACGGCACAATCAAGGGTCAGGTAACTTTAAGGAACAAGGCAGTCAGTGGTCAGGCAAAAATATGACTGGGAATCCTAAAAGGCCAGTCACAAGGGTAATTTTTATAAGTCACACCATGGAAATATTAATGTAGGTCAGCAAGGAAGACCACCAATGAAATGCTATAGGTGTGGGGAAGTTGGTCATTTGAAATCTCAGGGTAGAACTGCTCAAAAGTCAGCAGGGTTAACCGTGTCTTGGGAAAAACCTAGGAGTTTTCACAATGATGTGACAGGTACCAGACACTGTGAGGTTAAGAAGCCTGCTAGAGACTTTGAGGCATTTATACCTGAAGGGAAAATCTCCGTAGAAGGAGGTTCCAAGAGAAAAATTAAAGTATTAAGAAACACTTGGGCAAATCAGAGTGTAGCCCTCAAGAAATCACTGGAGCGGACAGTGGAGTCTCGTTCAGGTGATGAGGTGAAAGTGAAAGTGTTAGGCTCTAAATTGATCATGCCCATACATGAATTGAACCTCGAGATCGACCTTGTCATTGGTAAAGTTAAGGTTGTGGTGACGATGAATTACCGGTTGACGAGTGGATATGTTATTGGGTAATGATCTAGCAGGATATAATATCTTTATCCCATGATTCATATTTGGCAGGACATATAGGTGTGATGAAATCCACAAGCAGGTTGCTAATGCACGTTTATTGGCTTAGTTTGAAAAAAGCTTTGGCAGCATTTTGTAGGACCTGCTCTGTGTGTCAAAATTTGGAAAGCCAAATCCAATTACCCCACCTGTGGGTGGGCTCTCCGGTGTTCAGGAGGCAGATCTCGGGTGTGTCTTGAAAGGTGGTGTATAGGTGTAGGAAGTCTTCATTTGTGGGGCTTACCGAGGTAAGGAAGGGATGATGTGCGTTGAAATCCCCTCCTATGAGTGTGGCGTTGTCAGCGGCTGAAGCGAATCATTGAGTCACCTCCAGTGAGCCCCTTGGGTTCTTGTAGATGTTGTGAACAGTTAATTCCCGTTCTTGGAGGGTTACTTTGACGGCCTGTGTCTCGATGTTTTCCCCACATGGAAATTGCTGCATGACCTCGGAGGAGGTTATGCTTGACTTGACCAAGATCATACATCCTCTTGTTGACGCCTGCGTGAAATGCCTCCTGTATGTCTTGTAACCACTGAATTTGAAACAGTGGTGTTCTTGTAGAAGTGTTTCTTGTAGCAGTATAATGTCAAGCTTGTCCTTGGCTGCTGCTTCTTGCAGGAGGTGTTTCTTGTTTTTGATGCCCTGAGCATTCCATGTAAGGATGTTCAGGGTGCTGATGTTTTCCACTGTTTCATCGGGGACTTCTGGTGGTCCTCGATGGAAATGTTCAGGTCCGATTCCGACTGGATCAGGTTCATATCTTCTTGTTCTGTGGTTTTTGCCTTCTGGGCCGTGGTTCGGTTCAGGGGAGTTGAAACGTCCAATTTCTTTCTGGGAGCTGTCGGTATCTTTGGTTCTCTGGTGGCCTTTTTCGGTGTAGAGTGTACTTCGGCTGTCACTCGTGTGGGGACCGGCGTGGCGTCCTCCACTGAGGTGGCTGGAGCTGTGGCGACTTGCCCGAGGACGCTCCCCATGAGTATTTGGAGCTGTGTGGGTTGGATCTTGTGGCCCAGTAGTCCGGCTAGGCCCTCCGCGAAGGTTATCAGTACCTTGGCTAGGTCTGATACGTGTATCATTCCTTCTGGTGCCTTGATGTGTGCTTCTTTTGTCTTTTTCGTGGTTGTGGTTGTCTGCTGCTTGGGTGGCTGAGGTGTGGCCGTAGTGAGGCCAGGAAACTGGGCTGTACTTTGGGTGTTGACCGGCTGTGGAGGTTGGCTTTGTTGTTTTGGCCTTTGGGTTCCCCACACGAAGGTACTTGGTGGGGCTGGTGTGAAGGTGGTGGGGCCGGTCTTGCTGCTGGTCGGTTTGCTTGGACCCTCTTTGTCCTCTCGGAGCATCCAGGGTTTCAGGCGTGGTGTTTGCCCCCGCAGTTGGCACACTTGGGGGCAATTTTTTCTCCATTTTTCAACTTGGTGAGGCAGGAGTGTGTGTTGTGCTTCTGCGGGCAGACTGCGCAGATTTCCTTGTACGTGCACCTCGTCTGATGGTGCCCATATTTCTGGCATCTGAAGCACCGCAGGGGCTCCGGGACGAAGGGCCTCACTTCGTAGATCCCCCAGGTTTTGAGGTCAATGGTGCTGGGGGGTGAACCGTAGTGCGTTATGAGCACTTGTTTTGTGGTGGCCGTCTTGTCGGACGGGGGAGAGCATCTCTCGGCTTTTAGGATCTTCGGGTGGTTTGGTTCAGGTTTGGCTGCATATGTCGTTTTCGTATCCGTTTCGAGATCCGGAATTTGGCAGTGTCTTTGGGGGAGCTTGTAGTGCTGGGTGCCTTTGGGCTGCTTGACGGCATTCATTTCGAAAAAGCACGTCGGCGTTTTGTTTTCAACCTTCGTCCAGTTGTCGTCCTCAGTGGCGGTAACAGTGGTGGTGGAGTTGTTGGAGGCGGTGGCAGTGTTCTTGCTTCCAGGGCTTCGTTGAAGGCGTGTAACTGGTCCGCTTTCTGTGCGGAGCCTGTCGGTCGGGTCGTCAGGTTGGCGGTTGGGGGGGTCGCGGTTAGAGGGCGATGCACCCATAACCCGTGGTTAAGGTTTTTTTCTTTTTAGAGCCTACTTATTCCGGTTGAGTAAGGCAGAGGAATTTCAGCACTCTGGCAATGATGGCCGGGTGGTCATAGAGTGGTTCCTGAGTTTCTTCCGGAGCCCCTGTTGGCAAACCTACTTCCTAGTGTATGTGACTGCTCACTTATAGACGTGAGCTAAGCGTGCCTATTGGGGAAGGATAAGATTGCTACCCTCTTTCCAGGTGGACCATCATGATCACGGTTTTCCGAAAGACTCTAGGATGTATTACGAATATCACCTGGGTCTCCCACAGAGTGTACCTCGGCTGTCACTCGAGTGGTGGCCGGCATGGCATCCTCCACTGAGCTGGCTGGAGCTGTGGCGACTTGTCCGAGGACGCTCCCCATGAGTAATTGGAGCTGTGTAAGCTGGATCTTGTGGCCCAGTAGTCCGGCTAGGCCCTCCGAGAAGGTTGTCAGTACCTTGGCTAGGTCTGATACGTGTATCATTCCTTCTATTGCTTTGGTGTGTGCTTGTTTTGTCTTTTTTGTAGTTGTCGTTGTCTGCTGCTTGGGGGGCTGAGGTGTGGCCGTAGTGAGGCCAGGAAACTGGGCTTCACTTTGGGTGTTGACCGGCTTTGTTGTTTTGGCCTTTGGGTTCCCCACACGAAGGTACTTGGTGGGGCTGGTGTGCAAGCGGTGGGGGCCGGTCTTGCTGCTGGTCGGTTTGCCTGGACCCTCTTTGTCCTCTTGGAGCATCCAGGGTTCCAGGCGTGGTGTTTACCCCCGCAGTTGGCACACTTGGGGGCAATTTTTTCCCCATTCTTCAACTTGGTGAGGCAGGAGTGTGTGCCATGCTTCTGCGCGCAGACGGCGCATATTTCCTTGTACGTGCACCTCGTCTGATGG